TTGTGGACACAGAGAAGATGGAGAGTAAATATAGAGGAGCAAGCAATAGCTCAGAAAGAAGAGATGCAATACAATAATCTTAGACCATGGAAGTATATGGGCAAGAGAGTGTATGTTTCCTATTGCTGCTATCACAGTTTGGTGCCTTAGAACAGCACAAGCTAATTATCCAGCAATTTTGGAGGTTAGAAGCCTGAAACAGGTTTCATTGAAATGAATGTGTTGATAAGGCTGCATTCCTACTGGCAGCCTGGGGAGAGTCCGTTTCCTTGCCTTTCTAATTTTTAGAGGCTGCCCACATTTCTTGGCTGTTGATTCTTACCCTTTTTCTTCTCTCAGTGCCAGAGATTGCATCACTCTGACCCTCTGCTCCTGACATCACATCTCATTCTGACTCTTCTGCCTCCCAACTTCCTTCTTTTAAGAGCCCTTATGACAATATTGAGCCCACCTAAGTAATCAAAGACAGTCCCCCCCCCTACTTTAAGATACTTCATTCAGTCACATCAGTCCCTTTGCAATGTAAAAGGTTGTGGGGGTTAGCATGTGGACATCTTTCACGTACCATTATTCTGCCTACCTCAAAGAGTGAGTAAGTTATTTTGACTGGAGTGGAGGGTCCCTAGGAAAGTAATGAAATTCAGGTCAAAACCATATGATGGGGGGCCTCCCTGGTAGCACAAGGGGTCGAAGCACTGTGAAGCTATCTACAGCCACAGCCAGCCACAGCTGCACAAACCAGGCCAGGGAGCTGACCCACATGGTGCAACAGACCTCTCCTGTCTCACCTGCTGCTCCTCTCAGCAGTGTGTTTCAGACAATCTAACTGTTCTGCTTCCCACTCTGGTCTCTGGTGCATCCTCTCGCTCTCTGTACTTCTGGCCTGTACCCCAGTACAGTACTTGTATGCATAAATAAATAAATCTTAAAAAAAAAAAAAAAATTAAAACAGCTGATGGGCGCCTTGAATGCTCAGCCCTTTGGATTTCATTCTGTGGATGGGAGGGAACTTTGCTAAGTCCTTCACCAGGCAAGTGGCTTGTTAATAGTGCTAAGAAAGTCAGTCAGCTCACAGTGCCCTTTATGACTTAGAGGGAAGAACAGAAAGTTTTCAAGATGTAGTTAGAGTAGTCCAAGCCAGAAGAACAAGGTCCAGTCCAAGAATAATAGGCAAGGATGGTGTGCAAAGTGCAATGTGAGTAAGATCCACAGGAGGTGCTCATCTGAGTACACATGTAAAGAAGGGGAAGAATCTAAAGGTATTCTCACCTTTAGGAGTAGGAAGATTGTAGGAAAAGATATACTAAGGAAGTCAGGAAAGCAAGGAGATGTTATGTAGGGGTCTAGCTGAAGAATCCTGGAATGGAATAGTTGATAGATACCATCACAATTATAAGCCACTATCTTATATGCCACTGAGGAAAAAATGTCCCTAATTAAAATATGACGCACGAATTCTTTTTTTTTTTTTTTTAAAGATTTATTTATTTGTGCATACAGACCTAGGGTACAGGCCAGAGGTGTGGGGCGGTGAGAGGATGCACCAGAGACAGAGTGGGGAGC